TGAGTTGAGCAGTTTGTGAGCAGCTCGAACTCTATTCGGTCAAAAGTCAGTAAAAGTTCAACTCTGGTTGACTCGACTTGAGACATTAACGAGCTGAGTCTAGTAAAGTCCAACTCGACTCGATAAGTTCGCGAGCAGCTCATTATTTTTTTTATAATTTTTCAATATTTATTTTAAAAAACAATTTCATTCAAAAATTACTAATGTACTAATAGATAATAAAAACATGATAAATAACTAATCTATTAATTTATAATATTAGTCATCGTCCCTCACCAATCATATTTTTAATTATTAAATAATATAGAAAACGTATATATTTTTAAAAAATAAATAAAGAAAAATTTACCAGACCCCTTCAATTAAAAAAATTGTATTTATGGGAAATAAAAAATATTTTAGCCCCCGCTATAATAAATTTCTAGTTTCGCTCCTGAGTATTAGTATATTTTACCTATAATTAAAAAAATAAGATAAAAATTCAGTGAGCTTAATGAGCAACGAGCTGAGCAACGGGCATAACGAGCACGAGTCGAACAAAATTATAAAGAGCTTAACAAGCAACAACTCGAGTCGAGCAACAAATTTTTTTAACGAAACACAAATCGAACACTGCCCAACTCGCGATCAACTAGCTCAATTAACACCCCTATGAATATATATGATATTATATATTTTTTACTAATTTACAAATTTTACTCATAATTACCCGTAACATATATGATTATTTATGTTATTTTTAGATTTACCAATAAAAAGACAGAAGACGTATAAACTTCCAACTTTTACAACCTGCCCAAATTAAACGTTCCAAATTAAAGAGGTAACGTGACATGTAATTTGAATCCAATCATGTATGTGTGTTTGTTTGAATGCTAGTAATTAATTGCTAACTTAATAATACAACTAGCTATAGGCTGTAGACATCAAGAGAGCCACTCTATTGGGGCAAAATTCATATCGCTATTAATTACATATGTTTCAATTTTTCACATATATAATTGGGTTATATTTTTCTTCGTGAAAATCGATGTTTTAGTATTATTTCACTTTATTTTTTTTACAATATGTTTATTTAATATTCCTAGGACTATAAATAAGAAGAGCATAACACAAACAATTAAATTTCTATTACTTTATATTAATTTGTTAAATTAGAAAAACATAGAGAATATCTTAACTTCATAAACAATTAAAATTTAAGAAATGTTTTATTTCGTTTATCTATATTATAATTACATAAAAAAAGTTAAAAAATATATATATATCCACAATGATCAAAATCCGATTAAGTTAATAAGATTCCATTTATTGGATTTACGAGAAACGAAAAAGGTTGTGGGGTCGGGACCCAAGATGTCTGCGACAGTCTGCATGGTTTCCCGTAGCGCAGGTGTTGTTAAGCCAAAAATCACCCAAATATTATAATATTACATATCAGATACTATTTTTTTTTTAAATTTTATCAATTTAACTTCCTTTTTGATATGACGCGTTACATGAAATACGCCTTTGCTTAGGTGGATTGAAAGAGCGTTCTTTGAAAACGTACCTTTTGAGGAAAATGTTGACATGACGCTACGTGAGAAGATACGTTTCTTAACAATGTGGGATAAAAGTCAAAATGTGTATTTCTTAACTTTTTTTATCTCTATATCTAATGAATATACTTATATACTATTGTTAAAATAAATTAGGTTAATATTTATTATTAAGGTTTGTATTAATTAAGATTAGATATTTTTTATATGTTAATATATGAATCTACTCATAAAATTAATATGTATTAAATTATGATGTTAATATCTATAGTTTTTATTTTTTTTATTTTTTAAAATGTTTTTAGGGATTATGAGGATCTTAGAAGTAGGGGTGTATTCGGTTCGGTTCAGTTTTTTTACTAAAAATTGAATCGAACCGTTATAAACGATTTTTTAAAATTTAAACCGAAACCGAATGGTTAAAAAATTAAAATATGTGAAACCGATTTTTTCGATTCGGTTCAGTAATGTAGTTTTTCATAAACCGAAAGATTTAGGTTTTTTTTGTATTTACTTTAATTGAGTATTTGGGCTTACCGCTTATGGGTAAGGGTAAGTGGGTAACCGGCTGGATTGACCCAAATTATTTATTTTGTTCAATATGGAACATAATGGGTTTTATATGAAAAATCCGAATCGAATTAAAATATTTAAATATTTAAACCAATCCAAAACTAAACCGTATAAGATCAATCTTAACCGAATAATTTTACTCGATTTGTATCAATTTTTTTATTTTCTCGATTTTATTACTCAACCTTACTTAAAAGGTGCGCTCCTTAAAATATATCTACCCATATGATGTAATATCAACATTTCTCTTGAAAGACCGTTTCAGAAAACGCTATTTCGATCCACCTAAGCAAATACACATTATCCGAAAGAGTGTTTCGCTAAAATTTGAGGAAACGAGATAAGTAATATTATAATATATGGGTGATTTTTTTTTATATATATAAAAACGCCATGTGCGCATGGGTAGAGGGGAATAATCCAAATTTGGCGGGAGCAGAGCAGTTGGACCAATGGCAAAGCGCCATCTATAGGACATACTATAAACCTGGATGGGAAAGCTGAAACATTGCACCATCCTTTTAATAATGAGATAAAAACAGAATAGCTCACAATTATTTGTTTTCCTTTCTTCTTCTTCTAAATTTAAAAATAAAATGGTTTTACACGTCACTGTCCTGTAATAATTCACTAATCATTGCTTTCGATTTCTCAACTCTTTCGGGTTTTGCAACTTGTTGGGTAACCTATTTTTCATTTTCCTTCTTTTCTTATTAATTTGTGTTTATTGGTGATTTTCTCAAAAAAAAAAAATCACCCTATAACTATATATTTTCCTGTCAAATACCGTTCAAATTATATTTCTCGATATAATACCATTTTACATAAAAGTACGCCCCTACAACGCGCTTTAAGTTGATCTGACGCCACGTAGGATAAGACGCGCCCCTTGTAGCATGCCTTATTAAACGTGTAAAAAATTTGTGTGTTATTTTTTTAAATATTTTTAAACTAGTGCCTAATATGTAATTAATTTATGTTATAGTGTTATATGTGTAAAAATGCAAACTTTATCTATTTATTTTTTTGTGATATTATTTTTAACAACAATTAATAATGTTTATTGACTTTTAAAATTAATTGATTAAAAATATTAAAATAAAATTTTAATTACAATTGAGAGATCAAATTAATTATTATTCACTTTTTAAAAAATAAATAAAAAAATAATAAAAATGAATAAAATTCAATAAAAATATAAGGTAAAGCTAAAAAATATCATATATTTATTTAAAATATTATTTCTAATATTAATTTTAAAAAATATAAAATATAAAATAAATATTAATTTTTAATTTTATTAAAAATGAATAAACATTATTAACTGTTTTAAAAAAATAATAATTAATGAATAATAATTCATTTGATCCCTCAATTGTAATTAAAAGTTTATTTTAGTTAAATTTATGATTGTTAAACAGTTGTAGGTGTGGAAAGCTACAAGAATCAAATGAAAATTCGATCGTACAAAGTCAATAGCTTAAAATTGTCTAACTGCTGTCTAAATATCAACTCAATTGTACCACGAATAAACATCCGATCAAAGAGTTGATCTTTTCTGCTCAATCTTCACAAAAACTATTTTGTCTCGTTATTAATTATTATTTTTTAACAACAGTTAATAATATTTATTTATTTTTAATAAAATTAAATTTAATATTTATTTAATATTTTTTAAAATTAATATTAGAAAGAATATTTTAAATAAAGAGATGATATTTTTAGCTTTACATTATATTTTTATTGAATTTTATTTATTTTTAATTCATTTTTATTGCATTTTTATTTATTTTTTTAAAAAAGTGAATAATAATTAATTTGATCTCTCAATTGTAATTAAAATTTTATTTTAATATTTTAAACAATTAATTTTAAAAGTCAATAAACATAAATAGATAAAGTTGGCCTTTTTACACAAATATCACCCTAACAGAAATTAATTACATATTAGGCACTATTTTAAAAATATTTATAAAATTAGCACTCGAGTTTTTTACACGTTTAACAAGGTGCGTTGCAAGGGGCGCGACTTACCCCGTGACGTAAAGCGCGGTGCAGGTAGCGCGCTTTTTTGCAAAGAGTGTTAGATCGAAAAATATAAACTGAACGGTGCCTAATATGGAAATATATAGGAGTTGGGTGATTTTTGGAGAAAATCGCCCTGTTTTAGGCGTCGTGTGTTTAAATTTTATCTTTAATTATTTAATAAGTAGATTTAAATAATTATAAAATTTAAGGGTTTTGTAGTTAAATTTATTAATTTTAAATTATAAAAAATGGACCTCTCTTATATTTTTATATGCAAGTAAGAAAAAGAACAAGTAAAATAAAGATTTGGAAAGCGAGCATTTTAATTGTGGGCCTTTTACGCCAACTCCATTTCTCATCAACTAATAATTAATATAAAATAATATAATAAATAATAAAAAAAGGAATGCTGTAAAAAAATTTCTTCTAAAATTTAAAAATATTTAGTGAATAAATATTACGATGATTACATTATGTAGCATACATACATACATGTTATGTTCTGTTTGTTTTAAAAAAATATTTTATAAAATTTATATTTATAAAAATAATTATTCAAGATGTTTTTCGGTTAACTACAAACCGTGTTGTTTACTTATTTAACCGCCTTCCCTTCACTCCCTACAAAACTCGTAACTGAAAAAGAAAACCAGCTTAAAATTTGTTATCCTTTGTTTCCTGCTATAAAAGTCAAGTGAAATAGCAAGCTTCAGAGAACTCAAGAGCAATGAAAAAGGAGGAGCAGATCGTAGACGAAGATTTCTGTGGCTTTGACGGATAATGATTTTCGATTCTTTATCTCGTTTCGGTTCGTTATTTTGATTTGAAAGAGAGAGAGAGAGTAAAGAAGTAAAAGCAATGAAGTCTCGAATGGAGCATTACGAGATCATGGAACAGATCGGCCGTGGCGCTTTCGGCGCTGCCATTATCGTTTACCACAAATCCCAAAAAAAGAAGTAATTTATAGTTTGTGACTTTATTGATTTTTTTAATAATGTGCTTCATTTTTTGTTGAATTTTTGGTATTTCCGTCTATGATTTCCAGATATGTATTGAAGAAGATCAGATTGGCGCGGCAAACGGAGCGTTGCAGGAGATCAGCACATCAAGAAGTTAGTTTGATTTGTTTAACTAATTTAATCTTTAATTCTAAACAGCTCAAGTTTTCTGATTTATAATTTCTCGTGAATTTTGTGGAATGTAGATGGCACTAATATCGCGAGTTCAGCATCCTTACATTGTTGAATTTAAGGAAGCTTGGGTTGAGAAAGTAAGATACGATCGTACGATTCTACTTTTTTTTTTGGTTAGATTCTCGAATCTCCACTTTTACTAAAAGCTTGTTGAGTACTTGACTGCCCTTTTTATGCAGGGTTGCTATGTATGCATTGTTACTGGATACTGTGAAGGTGGAGATATGTGAGTTTCCAAGCTTGTATGTTGAACTTTAGTTCAGATTTCAGAGCCTTCTGTTCTTCAATATCTGCAATTTTTGAAATGTGTAGATATTTTTTTCATTTTGTTGAACAGGGCTGAATTGATGAAAAAATCAAATGGGGTCTATTTCGTCGAGGAGGTAATCTAATTCTCTGCTGATTTTACATTTAATAAGTTAATATTTTCTTGAGTTATGCCTCCACGTTGTGCAGAAACTCTGCAAGTGGTTTGCACAGCTTATTCTGGCTGTTGAATATCTGCATTCCAATTTTGTTTTGCATCGGGACATAAAGGTATGTTTTTTAAATTTATACTAGTCTTTATATTAGTATCTTAATGATTTATGGGTTGACTTTGGCACTATCTTATCAGTGTTCCAATATTTTTCTTACCAAAGATCAAGATGTCCGCCTTGGTGAGTTCGTCTTATCCCTTTTCTTCTTGTTTTCTTACAAGTTCCCTCTCTCACATTTCATCCTTGAGCTATATTAGATATCCTACGTGATTGCACATCTTTATTCTAAATTTCATTTCTGGTCTTAACTGGTTCAGGGGATTTTGGACTTGCCAAAACTCTAAAGGCAGACGATTTGGCTTCCTCGGTATGTACCATGTAACGAAATACATTTTTATATCCCTTGTCTTTAATCTTTTTCAACCACTTCCAAAGATGGAAAATATCTTGGTCCTTTTCTTCTACGTTAAGCTTATGCTACTAAACTCAAATGGAGCTTTGTTAATAGTTGTGTTCTGTTTGCTGATACCTGAAGTTCCCTGTACATTTTATGGTAATAGTCTTGCATTGAAGCACGGTACTAATAAACTATCTGATTCATAAAATGCTCCACTAGTTGAGGAATTGATACAGTAGAAAATTAATTTAATTTGTTGATATAATATGGTGTGCCACAGCTTGGAGTTGAACACGGTAAAAATTTTAATGTTGGTTGCTGAGAACAAATTGTTATTAATAGTCAAGTGAATAATTATAATCAGATCAGCCAGATTAACATAGATAATCACCTTTTTCTTCAAGGAAATAATTAAGAGAGAAAAAAAATAATTTGTTAGCTCTGGGATTGATAGCTCTGTTGCTGAGAAATTATACATGTGTGCAACTTCCGGTAACTAGTCACAGGAAGCTTACATTTAACGGAAGGGGATATGTATTTTTGAAGGCCCTCAATTATTAGTTTAAAATAAAAGGAGCTAAAAGTTGCAGAAGGATATGCCATATCGGCCATAAATGTCCGAAGACTAACAGTATCTATTAGGTTAGATTTGTACTCCTCAATCTCCAATCCTAATACTTGGTACATTTGGACGAAGCCAGTTGGGAGCAGGGAGTTGAAATTTGCATCGCAAACCTCCAACGGTAGGGGTAATGCCAACAACCACTAGTCCACAACTAGGTTTCTCAGACCCTTTTATTGACGACCAACTGTACTTGCACCTTTTTCAGTGAAGACAAAAGTTATATACCTTTGATATCAATTATTTTTTCAATTGTGTATTTATTCTTCCTTACATAAAAATGTGCTAGTTATTTGTAGCTTCGTTGCAAGTTAATAGTTGTTTTATACATGGCACAGGTGGTTGGAACTCCCTATTACATGTGTCCTGAACTGCTTGCAGATATTCCTTATGGTTTCAAGTCTGATATCTGGTCTCTAGGTATGTCTTTTCCGCAAGACATATTTGTATAAATTTTTTCCCCTGACACATTGCTTCTTGTTCAACAGGGTGCTGTATGTATGAGATGGCTGCTCATCGCCCTGCTTTTAAAGCTTTTGTAAGAGTTCTTACATTTATTTTACTCTAATTTGTTTCTTGTATTCTGGAGTGAGCTTACAATAACCCTTCATTAGATCTAATTTTGGCAAGTAGCTTGTATTTCATAATTTTCATTTGATATTATATTAAAACAAGGAAATTGTAAGATTTATTTTATCTTCTTGTGGAAAATTCACCATTAACAAATGTAGCAAACCTTTGTATCTGTTGTTTATCTTAATTACGAACAAGTACAGCCCTTTTCTAGGTTCATAATTCGGAGGTCTTCTACGGAAGTTGCTCTCAACCTGTTATTAGGGGCAGCCTACTATCTTACCTCCCCCTTACCCCATTACATATGGGAACAAGGGACATCCATTTTTTCTTTTAAACATTGCTTTCAAAGTGCTCATATTTGTCTGCTTGAATGGTTTATATAATGTCCCTAGGTCTTCTGTGACCGATAATTTTAGGCTTTCGATTAACTATGTAAATTATACAATTTGATTCAATTAACTTCTGTCAAACTTCCTGTTCTAGGACATGGCGGGGTTGATAAGCAAGATAAATCGTTCCTCTATTGGCCCTTTGCCTTCTTGTTACTCTCCATCCTTGTAAGTCTATATATGTGCATTTTAGAACTCCCTGTTGTTTGTTTGCACGATGACCGAGTGGCCCACGTGATTTTTTATGCTCTCCTTTTGCTTTTATATCCTTGTTTTTTATTCTTTCATCGAATGTTACTATGTATGGAGAAAGTTAAGACATCTTAATCAAATTAGTCTTCTTTTTTTAATCCTTTATAAAGCTCAAAGTAAACATGATTATTGCTTAATCCTCTGTCAAGTAATCAACTTCTCAGTACATGATGAATTGTTTAACGTTACACACACAGGAAAACACTTATCAGGGGCATGCTAAGAAAGAATCCAGAGCAGCGACCAAGTGTAAGAGTTTCTTTTGGCACAATTCTAAGAATTCTACACCTGCCAGACTTCAAATTAACAATTCAAAATTTTCATCTTGATTAGGCATCAGAGCTTTTGAAGCACCCTTATTTGCAGCCTTATGTTGATCAGTATCGTCCATGCTTCAGCTACCCTTCAACAAATTGCTCCTTGAAGAAGCATATTTCCCCTGGTCGTGAATCTTCTGTTACTAGGAAAAATATAGCTGAAAGTCAGAATACTAATAGCTCGTGTAGTGATAAGGATAGTTTGCTTTCATGTGACAGAAACGCTGCCACAATGGCTTCAAATAGCAATAGCAAGGCCACTGACACAGATTCAATTTCTAATGATGAAGGAAGTACTGAGCAGCACCTGCCAAGTGAAGAAGAGAATAGCCCCATTGTTTTCACAGTCACAGTTGATGAAAAAGGAATGACGAAACCTTCTTATGCAGAACAGGGATCAAACGTTCAATCCAAGCAACCAAAGATCATCAAAAGTATAATGACGGCTTTGAAAGAAGGGAAAGTAAGAGAAAATGGTTTCCCAATGAGAGGCAGCCGTACAAAAACTGCAGGTGGATCGACTCAAAGAAATAACGTAGAAGCATCGCCCAAAGTTCTCAAACCCCCTACTCCCACTCTGGGTTCAAAGTCTAATGCAGATACACTAACTGTGGCTTCAGCAAGATCACCATTAGATTCCACAAAAAGGATACCGAGATCACAACATTTGAAGCACCAGGTAAGACTGCCACCAACTGATTCTATTTTAATCTTATTCGTTATCAATACCCTCGCTTATTTTGCAATATTCTTCTTCCTAGTTACCTTTAATTGAATCCTTCCCAAAGGCCAAACCTGGATTTGAAGGGATTCCTCATCCTGCACCTGGAAAGCATGTCGCTGAAGATGTACTACATTCCAAGCAAATGCAAAGGACTCTTTCCGATGTTGCAAGAAGATCATCTATTACCGGAAGAATGAATCATGCTGAAAGTGATGTTTCAAACGTGCCATGTAACGTACCAAAGTTGGGATTTCATGAGATAAACCAGGAGCGTGAGGTTATTCCTTGTCAGCTGCCCAACGGTTGCCTTAAAAATGCTTCTAGGGTGGTAAAACCCGAGATAGCTCTAACGGCAGGTGCCAAGGGGGTTGAAACAGATAGCAACAATTCTGCTTCATCTTCAATCTCAATTCAACCATCTGAGATGTGTGATGATGCGACAACCTCTTTCATCGATATGACAGAAGAGGTGCATGATCACGAGAAAAACACCCACACAAAGAGCTTGGAATCACATCCACCATACAGCTCACTTTCGCTGAAATCAGACACGCCTGAGGTTCTTTTGAGGGAAAACCACGGGTATGATCATAAACCAGTCATGTGTTCAAGTGAAAATTCTAGTCCAACCAAGGATCTTCATTTTACTTGGGTTGATGCAAAAATGAATCTGAGTGTCCCTATGGCCCTTCCACGCCCTGTTTCTGAAGAAACATCTGTTCATAAAGATGATTCCGCTGTAAGCTGGACATTTAGTAGGGAAGATGCTCCATTAATCCAGACAAATAGTGTCGATGATGCTCCTTTAAGCGAAATAAATACTAGGGATGATGTCCATATAAGCGACCCTAGTTGTAGGAATGACAACCCAATTAGGAGGCCGAGAAGCAATGATGATGCCACCATAAGCAGATCAAGTAGAAGAGACGGTGCCCTTATCTACAGGACAAGTGGTGAAGATTGCCCCATTCTCAGACCTAGTATAGAGGATGAAACTCTGGAAAACAGACCGAGTAGCAGAATAGATATGATGCTCCAGTCAAATCTTTGTTCTGCATCCAACAGTGATGACGAGTTGACTGTTATGGAACTTCTCTCATCAGTTGGAGGAAATATGCCTTGCCATGCCACACCAATTTCATCTTGCCAGGAGAATTCACTGCCAGCCAAAAGAACAAATGAGACTGGCCCAACAATTGAAAAACCAGGAGCGACCTCTTGTCCTCCCGTTCTTGATGATGTTATACATGTTATAAGGCATAGTAGCTTCCGTGTTGGCGGTGAGCAGCCGGTGATGGAAAAAACAGAAAGGGGTGTGGATGTTGGGGATTTCATAAATGTTGTGAGGGATGAATTGGACATGAGAAACATGACGACTAGTCCAGTGAACCTTACGTCATCAAGTTGCTCTGAAGCTTTAAGTTCAAAATCAAATGTTTCGGATTATGCCGCGGGTGTTAAGGAAACAGATGTTAGAAACCCCATTTCCCCAGCGGAGACATCAGAAAAGGGAACATTGGATATCAAGCCTGATAGGCAAAGGGCAGAGGCACTTGAAGGACTTCTAGAATTGTCAGCAGAGTTACTGCAACAGAATAGATTGGAAGAGCTGTCAGTTGTTTTGAAGCCTTTTGGAAAAGACAAGGTGTCCCCTAGGGAGACAGCTATATGGTTAGCCAAGAGCATGAAAGGACTGATGCTTGAGGACTGTCCACGGAATTCATGAATTACTATTTTTTTTATCCTTCTCTTTCAAATATTCCAGGGTGCCTTTCCAGTGGATCGGAGCTAAAAGTTCAGTACCATACCAACAAACCGCTTAGCTGTTGGTAGAGTTCATGAATTATTTATTTCTGGGGTGAGCTTAGTTTTTTTTTCCACGTTGCCGTTCTAAGTGTTGGCTTCTTAATTAACCATTCTTATGTCTACCATATGAACTTTTAAAAGAACAGAGATATTGTTTTTTCAGTTCAGTTCTGTAATTCTTTCAGTGCATCCTGTTATAGTACATAGCTGACTTCTTGTTAAGACAAGTGATTTACGTGTGGATATATGCTATAGAATGTATGTATGATGCAACTTAAATCCAAACAATTCTATTGATTATAGATTTTACAGGGAATAGGCAGAGGCAGCTTTATTTCCTAAAACAAATACACTTAATGCATCGCTTAACCACAAATTACAAATACCCTAAACTGGAAAAACACCATCAGTCGAAACCTGATGCTGATATATTATAGACAATCAGATTAGGCTCCTTTTTCATTAGTTTCTTTCCCTTCCTTTCTTGGCTTGTATTATCAGCGTCACACGCACACAGTTTTGCCGTGCACTTTCTTGCAGAAAGGACTTGGCCTTGGATCTGGAAGCCCACGGCTAGCTTTCACTGCACAAGTCAACGGTAGTCATTTTAATACAATACCAAAACCAAACATATTTTCATATTCTACACGTATCCATCATAGACTATTGTTATTATTATAAATCAGATTCATTTTAATTTAAGGGTAAATTACACGTTTAATATCTAAATTATTATTTTCATTTCATTTTAATATTTAAATTTTTCTATTTAAAATCATATTTAACATTTATTTTATTTTTCAATTTGATATCATCCGTTAAAAAAATTAACATGTGATATTTTTAAAAAAATTTAAATATTGATGTGATGTTATTTTGTGATTATATGTTAATATTACTGTCAAATTTTAATGACAGAATATTAAACTAAAATATAAACAAAACATTATAAATACTTTTAAGAAAAATAAAATTTAAATACAAAAATAGATGGAAAAAAAAAACTCTTTTAAGTATGGTATTAACGGCGGGGTAGTGATAGTAAATGATTTGATCTTACTTGTGGCAACTAGTGGTCGAGCCGAGGTAGGAGCGGTGAACATAGCAAGAGTAGAAAGCAAGATAATGCAAGCTATCAGAAACGCCTTCGTTTTGGACCACATTTTGATTCCAATTTTGTTCTGTAAACTCCGCTTCCATTTTATAGGCACTTCTAAAAATCAAAGTCCCAAGCTATGCTAATATTATAATATTAAATGTTAATTTCATCACCTAATTCATTTGTCCACTAACTAAACTTTTTTCAAAATAATACACCAAATCGATTGATTGGGATACAAGATAAACAAATTGTATTTAGGGTGCGTTTGAATGTGGATTGTGAGATACTGAGGGGGAATTTTTTTTCGGACTATGATTTTCCCGTTTAGATTGTAAAGATTTTCAACCCCTGGTAATAAATCATTCTTAATAGTGACATTTTGGGGGTTTATTATCGGGAATGTGATTTCCCTCAATCCCTTAGGTATTTGTCATTTCTCGACGTTTTGGATTAAAATGTCCTTAAAATAATTTTTTTCAAAAATATTCTTCTTATGTCGTTGAATAAAAAAATTCTACGAAGGTTAAATTCCAAATTTATTCTTAAACTATTTTAGATTTACAAAAAAAATCCATAATTAGAATTTTATATGAAGTTTAAGGGTTAAAATAAAATTAAATCCTTTCATTAAACCTATTTATCTTTTAAATTTTGTAAAAAAAATTATATAAATTTTATGAATTTAAATTTTTTAAAGAAAATATATAAATTAAAAATAGTAAAATTATATATTTTCTATGATCTTTTATACAAATATTTTTATTTGAATATTTAGAGTTCAACTTGTTAAAAAAAATAAATATATAATAAGGACAATTTGGTAAAATATACATTCCAATAATCTTTTATTCATTTAACCAAACATTGTAATCTTACATTCCTGCTAAACGAATCAAACACAACAATGCAACATTCCTAGTAATGTGTTAGGTAATATTACATTCCGGTAATCCTATTCTCGAAGGTAATGCTACATTCCATGAACCAAACGCGCCATACATCGTCATATGGTATATCTTAAAATTTAATATTTTTTCGGGCAATTTAATTACCCTTAAAGGTACATGGTAGTCAAAGGGTGAGTCTTTGCTCGTAATGTAAAATATTGATGGGAAAGTGGAGAGAAATTTCATTTTTTGAATAAATTATAGTGATAGAGTGATGATGAAGGTAAGTTGGAATTAGTCAGATTATTCATAATCTTTAGTCATTATCAGCTCGTTGAATCATATCAAAATTTTGGTATAAAGAATTGGATAGTCAAAGTTACCTTCATCATCACTCTATGACTAAAGAGACCGAGTTGATAATGACTAAAGATTATGAATAATCTGACTAATTCCAACTTACCTTCATCATCACTCTATCACTATAATTTATTCCTTCCCACTGGGAAAAAAATGAAATTTCTCTTCACTTTCCCATCATTATTAATATCAATTAAAGACTTGAAGTAAATTGCCACTACAAAGGTGATTAAATTAATCAATTGATAAAAACATATTCAATTGATGACAGTATCCGTTGGATTTTATCAGAATATACGAGAGCTACCTTTATATTTATATCCATACTATCATAATTTAAATTTGTTGAATATCGATACGAATCAGTTATCTTGGTGGTTAAAGCAATGAGTGTTATTCTGAAAGGTTTCTGATTCTAGCATCATATATTATAGGATATTTGATTGTTCACTGTCAGATGATTGAGAATCTTTTAAAAAAATATGTTGGATTAAAATCTATAATTATGGGCAATATATTATTATCGTAAAATATGACATAAATTAAGTTACCAATTACGTTATAAAGTCATAAAGTATTAGAAGTTTCATGGAAATAAAAGTGTAGATACTATTAAAGTTGTATTTATAAATTGATGAGAGACAAAGTTATAATCGTATTTACTCTTATCCCCATTTTAGAGTTTGTACTTAAGAGAGTTTTATCTTCTTTGAAGATCACAACAAAAGAAATATTTAAGGATTTTAACCTATCAATTAATTCATGTACGTTTCCGTTAATCTAGTATTTATTTTATTTTCGATGATTTAACATGATTAGATCCTGATTTGTTTTCATAATTATTATGGTTTGATTTTAACAAGATACAATCATTTTTAGACACCTAAATTAATAAAAAAAAAATTGAATATCGACTTTCAAAAACAGAATTCGAGATATAATTAGAGTTTAACTTTGCTTCACATTTCAACCATCTTTAAGTTTTCCACAATTATAACTTTTGTTTTCTTCCTTAATTTCTCAACACCAATTTTTAGCTTTGGAAAGAGCAGCACTTAACTAATAAAAAATGAGGTAAATTACACGATTAGTACATAAACTATCAGTTTTGGTCTATTTTAATATCTAAACTTTTCATTTTTTTGAACCATACCTAAAATTTAATTCTTGTTTCATTTTAGTACTCCATTCAAAATTTAACGTTAAATTTTGAAAAAATTGAAAATTTAAGTACTGATGACAAAAGTGATAGTTTAGGTACTAAAAGTGTTAAATTTTTAACAGTGAGATACTAAAATGAAATGAAAACTAAACGTTTGGTATAGTTTCAAAAAAACTGAAAATTTAGAAACTAAAAAACTGATGATTTAGGTAAAAAATGAGAGCCAAAGAGTAGTGTTTTAAGGTAAATATTAGAAGCAAATCCCATTTCATGCTTTTGCTTGCAAAAGTTGATGGATTTTTGGCGAGGCGTAATAATAAGGTATCACCCAGCAAGACTGCACCCCAAGATAAGATTGCACCAAACGAACACTCATTCTGCACCCACCCACCATATGCCAAGTTACACCCCCTATTCCCAATCATAGACATACGCCGAATAGATTTCCACGTTAGATTAAGTACTTTTACATTTAAGCATAACATATACAAATAATCATTAAATTTATATAGAATATCATAACATAATTTTTATAATCATTTAAATTTAAAGAGGTCCTGTGGCTGTCATCTCCAGTCCGCAGCGGGCAGCGCACAACGATGGCGGCCCAGGACTGCGGCCACCACGACGATGATGAGCAGCGAGTCAAGCGCATAACAATAGCCATTGTGGGGTTCTTCGTGGTTTTCGGCATAGTTGTGTTCCTTGTATGGGCGATCCTCCACCCCGACAAGCCCCGCTTCATCCTCCAAGACGTCACCATCTACGCTTTCAACCTCACAGCTACAAACTTACTTCAAACATCCAAATCACTGTCTTCCCACAACCCCAATGACAAGATCGGCATCTACTACCAAAAACTCGACATCTTCGCATCTTACCATAACCAGCAGATAACCTTACCCACGCTGCTACCCAGGACCTACCAGGGCCATCTCGTCGTCACCGTTTGGTCCCCTTTTTTTATACGGCAATGCGGTGCCGGTGGCGCTGTTTCTGGAAGAAGGGTTGAGCCAGGACTTGAATACTGGCATGGTGATGCTCAATGTCATGGTCTACGGGCAACTGAAATGGGGAGTGGGGACTTGGGTTTCGGGGAGGTATCAAATAAACGCCAATTGTCCGGCTTATATTTCCTTTTCCGATCGAACTAAGGGAATCCAAGTTGGTTCGGCTATGAAGTATCAACTTGTTCAAACCTGCACCGTCGATGTTTCTCTCAACTAGTTCGTTTATTTTAAGCGTATAATAATCATGTCAGTTGGATTGGTTCTTGTGCAAAACTAAGATGAGAGAATTTTTTTAAATGGAAATTGTTGGTAAAGATTTGTGTGCTTTTACTACACATGTTCCTTAATCCTTAAAACAAATAATAATATTTTTTAAACTTGGATAACTGAAATAATTTATCTACAATATTGCTATTTTATCACCTAAAAGCATGTTTTGGATCATTTTCCATGGATGTATGGCATTAGTTGCCAACGTGAAACAGTAAAGATTGGCTAAATCAAGTTAAATTTAGATTACTTATTCTAATGGAAATGGCAACATTTGAAACTCGAAATAGGGGTTTCTTTAAAACTTTCAAGAGTCAAAACAACACTTTGAGAAATCTTTCAAGACCCAAAAGGCCAAAATTTTACGCTTTAATGTATATTATATATAAGGAAAATGAAAATGAATGTTAGAACAATATGAATATTTATATATATATATATATAATGCTGTGAATTTAAATAGAAAAGGATATAACTGTCCAATGGGTTTAATTCATTATGTATTTTAGTTGGCTGATATGTTTTATTAGTAACGTGAAAAAGATAAATTTTATATTTGTTAGATATTATTTTTATAGGCATAGTGTAACAAATTAATCCTAACGTTTGATAGTATTGTCAAATTTGTTCTTATTATTTTTTTGGAATATTTTACCATTCAACGTTCATTTTAAGGGAAAAAACACTACGATAGATGAAAAATGTCTGATGTTGACCAAGCACGTACAAGTGAAGAGATATCCTGACGTGGCTATCCATATCATGATACATGATGACGTGACACTATCACGTCAATTTTTTTTAAATAAACAATAAAATTATTATTATTATTATTTATATAATTATTTATTACCCATCAGAGGGTGAGACTAGTGTTGGTTTAAAGGAACTATTAAAAGGTAAACTATATAGGAGGGGACTTAAACTTAGGAAAAAGGTGTGGAATGGCATGGCTTTTGCCATCAGACCAAGCGAATTAGTTAAATAATGAAACAAATCGTATTTAATATATACTTAAATTTGAATTTAATGAAAAAAAAAGTTAAATACTTGTTTATAATTTAACTTATATCTTCTCATAATCTTATTTCCTCGTAACCGATTATTTCAAAAATAGTAAAGTTAAGGGTTTTGTTTCCCCTCTCAATTTATTCAAATTCATTGAAGCAACAATTTTCACTCAGTTACGAAGATGAATTTTCTTATTTTCCAATCAATTATTCCCAAAATCGTATATTTCAAATCTAGTTTGTTTTTTTGAATCAAATTATCCACCATTTCTTTATTTTCGAATGGGTTTTCAAAAAAGTTTTTTACAATGTTTGGGTTTGTGCGAGTTTCAAATGAGTTTTATAGATTTTATGAATGAATTGTGCATAATAAGGGTGTTCAAAAATACATGATCCTGTTGACTCCAACCTAAAAAACAGATAATTTTCTAAAAATATTACCTGACCTGATCAAGTACCCGACTCATTATTTTTTGGGTAGTCGGGCCCAGTCTAGGCTGATTTTTTTTATAACCGGGTACCCGACCCGATAGTATTTATATATATATATATATATATATATATATATTCAGCTTAAATTATATTTTTATTTTAGGTTTATTAATATTTTTATCTTAAAATTAAATTTAAATCCTTATTTTTTATTAGATTTGTATTATGTTCTTTTAAGTTTTAAATTTTACAATTTTTTTTATTGATTTATGAATATGAGATTCGAACAAGATCGAGATTAATAACTTTATTTTTTTTTAACCAAAAACCCCTTTTAACCGTTACGAGATAGCATGCTGAGGTTAAGAAAGACCTCATATTTATTTTTTTTTATTAAATATTTAAAACCAAAAACCCTAATGTCTAATTCATTTGATGGCGGGAAGAAGAGATAAAGATAATTAATAAAATAAAATAAAACTTGATTCTGACTGAAAAAAGCAGTGTCCAAAATTTAATTTATTATGTAATTATACATTTAAAAGGGGAAAAACTAATTTTATGATTTTATTAAATTTATTGCAACTCCCTATCTATTTCCGAACCAAAATTCGCTCCCCTCTTCACCAGGGATGTTTATAAAAAAATTCGATCCGATTTTATTAAGTGCGGTTTGATTTGATTTGAATTTGTACGGTTTTTGAATTCTAATTTTTTAAAATAATTCAAATCAACAACATTACCGACATATTGTTCAAATTCTAAACCCCAAATACACTACTAAAAGTTATACAATTATTCAAATTCAAACCATTCTAGAACAACAACCCAAACCACAAACATCCATATTTAAGGGTGAAACCAAAAGAAACTTTTCTACTATTAACGAAGTAGTCTTGAACGCCGTTACACCGCAACTATTGCAGCGGGAATATGCCGTTCTTATTTTTGTTTTACTTATTCTTCCGTACCGATTCTTGTTTCAAGTTTTAGTCCCTTAATATTAAGGCAAACAATTTGAATATGTCATTCATTGTAAGAGGCTATCAGTTCGATTTGATTTGGATTGATTCCGGATTTTCAAACCATAACCTAACCGAACGAATTATTTTAAAAAAACCAAACACACTGAATCAATTTTATTTTTTTTCAGTTATCAATTTTCGATTATTTTTTTTAAATCGAATTAGATCATCACACCCTTACTCTTCATACCTTTAGTTCCTTTTTAATTATATAACTTATCATCTGCTTATTATTTTCTATTTCCCGCTTTTTTTAATTTTCCTTCTTTGCAAACATTAGATCTATCTTCAATTTCTCGTCTAAAAGGAAAAGAAAACAAAAAGGAAGAAGAAAGAAAGAGACTGTCTTTTTGCTGAGAATTCTTTTACCTTCCTCTTTTTATCTCTTCCCGAAACACCTCTCGAAGGCAAAATTCTTTAATATATATTTTCTTTTTATTTGATTTTAAGTTTTCATGAGATGTCGAATTCTCAAGCTTCGGATCAGTTAAAGCAATCCATTCAACAGCAACCGCAGCAAATTGAACACCCGGTGAAACAACAACGATCTTTATCTGTGAAACCGGTGTTTATGGCTTCTGACTATCACCGCTTTGCGTCAACTGAATCTCGCTGCAGCGCAGATCAAGAGCCCGAAGCCATAGTTGTTAAGTCTCCCGTAGGTCACTTTTCCCTCTGTTTCTTTTCTAGTTTAGTGGTTTTGTTTGTGTTGTTGACCATGGGAGTTGGTCGAGATCTGCTTTGGCTGTGATCTGGAGGGTGACTACTCTGAATTTTGATCTCTATAACCTGGAATTTGAATTTATGTGTGAAATTTTGTGGTTGAAACTTTAGTTTTGTTTTCTCTAGATTGGGGTTTTGTTTGTGTGTTTTTAATTGCGAATTTTGTCGGGTTTTGAGAATCTGATTTATTATTGGGTTGATTGTTGCCTTATTCGGTATTACGTTTGACTTGACAAGGTTTTATTAATCCATAAAGAATAGGTAAAGTCTTCAATTTAGTTTAATAAAGAATCGAATTAGAAAAACAAATCCAGAGACTGAACTAGAGAACAAAACAAAAAGGTCAAAACAGACTCAAACATTAACATTCCAAAGCCTAGAGCTGCTGGATGTATATTCTAGTCAATTGCTGGTTTTGATCCCCCTTTCAATGAAATTATTGCTTATCATCACTTCTAAAAGGAGAAAGTTTTATCTGTTTTATCATTCAATGAAGTTACCAGAATCATTTTATGCTTTGATCTTAGTAATCATTTAATGCTTTGATCTTAGTTTTAAATTTATGTGTTTCAATGCGATAAGATTCTAATGGTCCAGTTTTCTCGCAATTACTTTTCACCCTTGGTGCTTGTTAGAATGTCCTGGTTTTGCTTACGGTTAGTGGTTGTGCTCATTTGGTTGGAGGGTCAGTATAGATTCAATTATTGGTGTTACATTTGTTATGAACGATTTAGTCATCATGATGTTCTGTAAAATATTTAGTGTTTCTGTTTCACATGAAAAACCTGAGGTAGTTTGGAACGTATTGAAGTATTAACACTTGGATGATAGAAATTGTCTAGAGTCTACTGCACTTGGTTGAAAGATACCCTTTTTCATAACACATTTTCTCGGATCTCTTAAATGTAAATGCTCTGAGAACGACAAATCCAAGAATTCCAAGTAGAGCATGGCTGCATTGGCCCACTCTAATACTCAAATTGAAGCTCATCCTCCTGGTCAAAGTTCCCTACACCGGGTTCCTTTCCACTTGGATCGCTGGAAAATTTGTCAAATCAGCTTGGGAAAGAAGTTGTACCTGGCGATGGAACCACCGGTGGTGAGATTGATTTTGCTTCTAGGCCAGTTTCAGTTTTGGAGTCTTCCTTTCCTGGTGCCCTCGATCGATCAGATCAAAACGTTGTGGAGTCTCATGCCCTGGAAGACGGTCTCAGTATGGGTCTATTGGTTTCTAATGAGGCAATAAGTGATTCAATCCGATTGCAGGTAAAGGGTCTTGGGAAGGGCCCAAAGCTCGGGAAGAAAAAAAGACCTCGCGAATCTAAAAAGAGCAAGCAAAAGGCTGAGGTTGCTTAAGTGTCTCAGAGGTAGCTTGGGCTTTGGTCTATTAGCGGTTTTTGAAGGAGTTTTAATTGATTGGATTGTGTTGCTTCTCCAAATATGTAGATGGTTCGCCTCTTGGAGTTGGTTGTGTTTTTTTCTCATTAATAGATTTGGGTGTTGCTTTCGGTTATTTTGGTTTTTTTCTCATTATTTGGGTTGTCCTTGTTTTATTTGGCTGTTTGAGGGGGTTTCTTAGAGGTTTTCTGGTTTTTTCTTGATTTGGTGTTTGTATCTAGATTGGTATGTTCTTTCCTCTAAGGTGTACTGGTTTGTTTTTTTAATAAATTATGAGGTACTCTTTTCTTCCTTCCAATTTTCGTTGACATACGGTTTAGTATGTTGATGATTATGACGGGGGGTTTTAATGAGGCCTTCAAATCTTATAAAAAAAAAGATCCACGGTTCAACTTCTTGCAAATATGCAAGCTTCTCTATATTTTTTCCATCCAATGTAATTCAATTTCTTAAATGAAGCCTGAAGTTTCTTCTTGACTAATTTTGCGGCTCAATATTATTTACTCATGTTTCTAATTGCAATTTGAAAACATCTTGCCATATCAATTAAAGAGGAAGAAGGATGTAGCAGATCGAGAAGTTGAGTCTGGTGAGTGGGTAATGCCTCAAGGTTACACTGAAGTGGCTAGCAGTCCCCTTCAGACACCTGTATCAGGAACTGTTGGAAAGGCTAAAAAAACATCAAGGCTTGCACAAAGTAGTAAACTGGGCCCTCAAACTCCTGCTTCAAATTTTGGTTAGTAGTATTTTATGCTATTTATAAAGTTGAGGCGAATGAGAGGTCATTGTAGATCCTCAGGTTAAAATCATCTTTTGAACTAGTTCTGGTGAAAGTTAAGGAATAAATGTTGATATAGATAAGGACAAACCTTCTAAAATTTTGCAGGTTCTGCTGGCAATAATCTCGCTCCTGCTGGTCCCTGTCGATATGACAGCTCCTTAGGTAGTTTATTTTTTATTTTTTACTTCTGTATTTTGTTTGGTGTTAATTTTCGAAGTATTTTTTTTAAGAAGTTTATCGGTTATTAAGTTAATGTTGAGACTGATGTAATGTCATTTGAATTTAACTCAGGGTTATTGACAAAGAAGTTCATCAATTTGATTAAGCAAGCTGAAGACGGCATTCTTGATTTAAATAAAGCTGCCGGTACCTTGGAGGTAACTATGTCTTCATTTTTGTTAAACAATCAGATGATATGATTTCATTTCTTAATGGTTTCCTGTTCCTACAGGTGCAAAAGAGGAGGATTTATGACATAACCAATGTCCTTGAAGGTATTGGTCTCATAGAAAAAAAACTCAAGAACAGAATTCAGTGGAAGTATGGCCTGTATCTTCTTTTGTTTTTCTATAAACTTTGTCGACATTATTTGGTTTTTCACTTAAGAAAACACTCGAATCTTTTAATTGATATCAGGGGGCTTGATGTATCAAGGCCAGGGGAATGTGATGAGAATGCTGCAACTTTGCAGGTACAATTCATGAAATTGTAGATGAATTGTTTGTTGAAATGCAGATTCTTTGATAGATTACGCGTTAGTGTTTTTATTTACTATAAAATTAATTTAATTTTACCTGTCATTTTCTTCTTTGGGGTACGTTTACATATAGTAGTTCACTTTTTGCTGATGATTTGTTTTTTTGCCTTTTTGACCGTGTTAAATCCAACATGTCTTTTATTTTCATCTCAAACGATGAAACTTTGAGAAGACAGTATCACTAATTTATAGTTAAACTAATATACAATGTAACTATGACGATCTTCTTCGCAGCTTTAATTTCAGACCCAGACTTCTATCAAAAGCAATGACATCTTTATCACTACTCATTGCAGTTTTGTACCTTTTTATGTCTTGTCCTTCTTGGCCTCTCTTTCCCTTCTATTTTTTATGTTTTTGAAAGTTATAGTGGCATGTTAGTTGTGAATTCTTTAGCGCATATGACAAAGCGTAGTTGAATCGTATTCAGTTAAGTTTTATTACTAGCAAGTACAATACGTTTAAATGATGGTTGTTTTTCATTACTTAAGCTTGCTGTGAAAACTTCATAATGGCAACATTCTTGCAGGCACAGGTTGAGGACCTTTCTATTGAGGAACGTAGATTAGATGAACGAATAAGGTTAAGCTGCTATGCCCTTGCTATTGTATCTCAGTTAAATTGATTCCATTCTCTGGATTGTTGCTGAGATTTCTATATTGTGCAGAGAAATGCAAGGAAGATTGAGGGACTTCAGTGACGATGAAAATAATCAGGAGTAAATCATCACTTACCTACTTAATATTGTATTCTTGTAGACCTTCTCACGATTTCAGCAGAGCAACTTAACTCATTTCTTCTTTTCCAGGTGGTTTTTTGTCACCGAGGAAGATATCAAGAGCATACCATGCTTCCAGGTATATTCATTGCCCAAATAACTTATTAATGTTTTGAATTTTGAGTCGGTAAATTTAAGGTCTTGCTTATGCTAGGGCTGCATTCTACTTTCTGCTTGTAACTAAATGTTTCTTTGCCTTTTGTTTAGAATGAAACACTGATAGCTATTAATGCTCCACATGGAACAACTCTGGAAGTCCCTGATCCTGATGAGGTAATCTCAAAGGCTTGAAGAATTAACATATGGTTCATGTTTCTACGTTCAATCACAATTGCAAACTTTTCTATTTATATCAGGCTGTTGACTATCCCCAAAGGAGATACAGAATTGTTCTCAGAAGCTCAATGGGTCCTATAGATGTTTATCTTGTCAGGTACAGTTGCTTCTAGTTGCTTAAAATTTTTCCTTTCGCATGTTGAAACCTTTATGGTAAGGATAATTTTCCATCTGAACACTAGTAGTCAACATTCCTGATGATTTCCCTCTTTTTCTCTCTGCTACCCAGTCAATTTGAGGAGAAATTTGAAAAGATACAAGGTGTTGATCCACCTCAAAACATTCAATCAATTTCGGGTTTGAATAACAACCCAGCAAAGACATTGGCAACAGAGGAGAGCAGAAGGAGTGAGTTCGAAATGCTGGGCCAAGATACAAATAGAATCTTTTCAGATATTAACGACTCACAGGACATCATGAATGGGATCCTGAAGATCGTTCCCTCAGATGTTGATGTAAGTTGGAATCTTTTACTGTATGGATATCGTTGCTTTTAGAAAAAAATTAAGTTCTTTCAGAAAACAAACATATTGTCCTAAGACCTTAAGCTTATGAGTTCTTTGATTGTATACCAAATGGGGCATGCCCTTTGATCAACAAAATTTTATTGACCATTTCAATTACTCATATGACAGTTTATTAACTTGTATGATCGTCTGATAAATCATTAATGAGTACTTATTTCCTAATTTCTTTTGCAGAGTGATGCCGATTATTGGCTTTTATCAGATCCCAGTGTTAGCATAACTGACATGTGGCCGACTGAACGTATCCTCTACTGAGATTTGATTCAATGTTTATTTTCTCTTGCTCATTATTTTGCCCGTAACTCTCTAACTAAAGCTTTCATTGAATGGATCGGGTATGATACACCTCGTGAAGACTATGGTACATCTGCTGTTAGCCCACCACACCCCACACCTCCACGAAATGCAATCGAAGTGCCTGGTGCCAATCCAACTGGGAAGTGAAAGACTTTTCTTTTGCATTTGCAAAACCAAACATTACTCGGCTTGCATTTTGTTGAAAGCATTCCTGATAGGCTGATACTTTGGAGAGTCTGGCATAAAGGTTCTTGAAAAGGCGGAAACTTGATCTTCCTCAAATTTCCAGGAATTAAATGATATCAAGTACGTAACAGTTAAGTAATACACGTGATCTACATGATATTGTGGTAAATAAGGGGTCATATTTTATCCGACTTCCCTGTATATAATTCTAATTATTTTGCTTTCATTGCGTTAGCTAGGTCATCTCGTTTAGATTGATCGGCATTGATAGGGTTATATAGAGATCACATGGTGGGAAACAAAAATGATCTGATGACCTTGTTTATATTGTAGTGAGCAAAATCTTTGATGAAATAAAGATGTAAACTTGTACATGATGTTCAGTGCATGACAAGGTTGTTTTGTGAAGCAACATACCAGAACTATGCAAGGGCTGAACTTGGCTGTAATGTATTTAATGATGCAGTAGACCAATATCGTCTTGAAGACACGCCGTCGAGCTTGAGTGGTTCATTGAATTTGCCGGAGGCGTCTGAGCTAGGATCGACCTTCCACTGAGATTGAAATATGGTGAAATGACAAGGCGTCTCAGATGCTGAAAGTCATATTAGGGCTTGGAAGAGTAATAGAGTTTGCCAAGTATTATGATTGTGAAGCTTCGGTTTTTCTAATGCATGCGTTATGTGCGTGTTTAAAATGTTTTTTTTAATTAATAATTGATATTCAATCTATTGATCGAATAATTCAGATTGGATATTGTAGAGGCGAGGGTGACCTTTCCAATCTAGTTTGCTTCATTCGCAAACACCAATGTTCGAATCTCTGATTTTACTTAAGGATATGTTAATATATGAACTCATGATGGAATATTTGTATAATTTTTATTAAATCTGGAATAAGTTATTGATAAACTTGAAACAATGCGTACAAAATATCCGTGCGTAAAGTATCATAAAAACCATAAAACTAAATCTTGCAAGATTTAACACTCACAGCTGAAACGTACATAATATGAAATTGACTACGTTTGTAGAGGAATAAAATTCAAAATGACCCAACAATTAAAATGATACATTATCTAAAAAAATTATATAACCATAATAAATGTTTATATGGAAAAGAATGTTGGGGGAAAACATGAAAAGAATCGATTTTCCATTCTTACAATTAAGATCTATTAAAAATTAATTTTATTAAGTTTTGAATATGATAAGTATGTAAGAGCATCTCATTGTAGTTATCTATTAAGGTTTTAGGTTCGAGCACCGTGTACTTAAGGGTGTGACCGTGTACTTAAGGGTGTATGAATCCTCATTATCAAATGATCAGAAGTTTTTGAACAAATATTACTTTGTATTCACTTTACTTAATAAAAACATAACCCTTCTCATTGTATTAGTAATTATCTCAACTTAAAAACAGAGATTCGTTAGCCCTTCTCTTCCTATTAGTAATGATCTCAACTAATAGAAATCAATCATATCTGATATGCTGAGGAATTTGTGTTCATAAAATAATTTTTTTAAGTTCTAACGAAGCGACTCAAACATTCTAGTTGTATATGATTAATTAATTAAAATATTTTATATTATTAAGTAATATTGTATAACAAGATCTCAAAAAAGATTTTTACCAGCATGAACCAATTTAAGCATTCATTGTCAAATGATTGAGAGTATTTAGAACATATACTACCTTATAATCCATTAGCTTAATAAAACAGATTTTATTATAATTTCTAGATAATAAACTAACTAGATTTTAAAGATTCAAGCCGCTCTCTCCCTACTCTGTCTTCCTTTTTTTTTGAATTTGTATATTTTTTATAGATCAGATCACTTTTTTCTTCTTAGATTTTCTTTAGCCGGCGGCGGCATTGACTTTGTGGCACGTTTATCTCTGTCTTTGTAGCACGTTTTTCGATTTTTTTCTCAGCTGTTTGTTTGTTCTTTTATTTATATTTTCTCAGGGTTGGATTATGACATTGATCTGCAGTTCTCGGTGATCTTTCCATACCTTAATTCTCTTTTATGGTTCGTTTGCTGATTAAATCATATTTATTTGTATCTATTTTAGTCTCTTGGTTGGCTTTTAAACATTTTTCCATGTATAGTCCTTATATGATCTAAAGCGGCTAGTTTCAATGTTATATAGGAAAAGTCCAAATCATGTATATAGTTTATGATGATGGTTGTAAACTCTTATCGTAAATTCGAATATTTTCACTTTTTTAATAATACTAGTGACTTCTGTTCAAAAAAAATATTTGATTACAATTTCCCAATAAATTTAAAATTTGAAACCAACTAAATTGATAATCATCGTTGATAATGTCTTTTTATGAAAATAATTAAATTTATGATAAACTTGTTTTAGAATATCTTTCATGAATATATTTAAATTTAAAATTTGAAACCAATTAAAATTCAAGTCTTCAAATTGATTTAGATTTTATAAAAAGATTTCACTCAAATTTGTATTTAAATTAGCTCAAATACCTAAAATAAACTTCACTGAATTCCCATTGTTTCTCACATTAAGCCGTCATAACAAAAATTTATACTCCGTATCGATTGTCTCTCAAGAATATAGTCCGGATTCAACAGTCTCAGTTATTCCAGAAATCAAGTGTTTCTGAATGCAGCAATCAGATGATGGCCTCGATCTTCCATCGGAATTGGATTCCAGAGTTCCGCTTGTTTCATACACATCATTGAAAGATTTGATTCCACCGAAGTCCAAGAATTCTCGTCCCTTTTCGTTGTTCATGGATTTGATTCCGTCGAGATCGAATAATTCCAATCCTTGTGTAAAAGGGTTGACGATTAGATCTTCTTGTGAAGTTCCGATAACCAATTTGTTGTTGAAGAAGACTACTTGGGTTTATTTGCGGCCAGTTGAATCAAATTCCGGAGAAACCAATTCCTTTTGCCTTCCTTGGATTAATGATTGTTTCAGGTTTATTGAAAGCAATTTAATTAACAAGATTGTTGCCGCTCTTGACAAGCTGGTGGGTGAAATTCATGTTGCTTCTAGCTTAGATAGTTAATTTTTTTTTAATAAAAGTGTATATTCTTCCGCTACATGAGCGATATGCAGTGACCGATCTATATGCCCTCAATCGAGTATGTGTACATATTAAAATTTGATTTTTTTTAATCATTTATTTATTTTTGTGATAGTATTCATCCTGAATTTTTTTTTATGTCAACCATATTAAAAAAATTTACGTTATTAATAAATGTGTTCTTACTTTCAAATAATTTTAAAATATGTCATTGTCAATAGGATTCATCATCAATAGGATTAGAAAAACAGTTAATTTCTAACACTAAAATCAATACAGATTCTAAAAGTTAAATCTCTCCCATAAAAGGGAATTAAGGTAACTAATCTTTAATCGATGGTGTCATTATACATGTATTATTTCTCTTAAAAAAACCTCCAAATTAAACTAACTATAAATAGGAGAAGCCCCCAAAAGCAAAGAAATAAACAAGAGAAAGAGCTTAAGATGCTTATTTTTTTGAGTTGTCCTGGTTTAGAAAATCAAGCGAGACGGTGCTTTTGCATTTGGGGCACTTGGGATCCACCTCCGACAGCATGACATACATGAGGCACAGTGGACATCTCACTAGCATCATCGGCGTTCCTTCGTAACTGTCCGGGCCACTGGGCGGCTCAGAAGACACGCACGAGCCTCCCGAAGACATTTCCGATGAGGAGACCGATGCATTGGGCGACATGACAGCTGCTGGTTGGTTAGCTGCCCCAGGAGTAGGTGGAGATAACTGGAGCTTCAGTTCCACCTTTGGAGTGTTGGCTTCTCCACTCATCACGTATGCATGTTTTTATGTAATATATCACACCTGCTTTGATAACATGGATCATATAGAAACAGCTAACATAAGCAGTAGAAACAGGTGGCCTAAAAAAAATCGATGAAACATGAATAAAAAATTGGAGTTCGGTGAAGTGTATGTACCAAATTGAAAAGGGAGATCTGTAAGAAGGTGCAGACCAAAAGAGGTTGATTGGATTATATATGCAATGATTGCTTTTTATATTTTAAATCGAATCAAATAATAAATAAAAATGGATTTTACTTTTAATATTCTTTTAAATCGAATTGATATTAGATGGAATTTTATATTTTTATACACTTGTTCACAAAGTCAATCCGAAAGCTGAAAAATCAACGTTCTTCACCGGAGAAGGTTATAAAGCTATAAAATTCGACCAGCTTCATGAGGTCAAATACTGCAATTAATTATAATTGATGTACATCTTGCCTGCTTCACAATCCAAACCAGAGAGGAGAGGTTTACAGGAATGTAAGATTACATTGTTTAGTTAAATAAATAAAAGATTATTATAATGTATATTTTAAGAAATTGTCCCTATTATATATATATATTTTTAATAAATTGAATTATACTATAATTTTACTATAATTAATTTATATATTTTCTTTTAAAAAAATTAAATTCATAAAATTTATATAATTTTTTTTATAAAATTGAAAAGATAAATAGGTTTAATGAAAGGGTAAAATTTTATTTTAACCCCTAAACTTCATATAAAATTCTAATTAAGGGCATTTTAGTTCAAAACACAGATAATCCATTAATACCTAAGGGAAGGAGCATAATCACATTTCATGTAATATACCCCAAAATACCACTGTTGGAAATAAAGGATTACCGGGGTTGGAAATGTTTGCCAACCAAACGAGAGAATGACATTACATTCCTCCGGTAATCCAAGATTACTTGAACCAAACACCCCTAAATGTTTCGACTCCAATGCTAGACATATTTATGCCAGCCATGGATTAGAAATATTTGAATTATAAAGAAGAAAACCACCTAAAAAAAGGTTATATTTAGGTTTATATTTCCATGAGAATGTAATGAATTATAGCCAAAAATGTGACGAGCATTACTATCATGCATTACGACAGTCCAGTAGTAAGATGTGTTACCAATCATATTTCTGGAGTTTAAAACACAAGAATAAAAATTCCGTCTTATATGGATTCATTGGCACAGGTTGTTCAACAAAGTAGCACATATCTGGAGTTTTTAACAGGCTTGTAACCTCCAAGAAATGTCACAAGCAAAGCTAGCAAAGCGAGGATAACAAAAGTTGCATAAGTGAGCCGGAGATTGGCGGTCGTCAACCGTGAAAACAAGTATAGCAGTCGTTTTGATGAGTCCCCCGACTTCGGACAACTTAGTTTCTCTATAGAGATCTCGCCAACACTGCATTCCTACTCCGTTGATGCTTTGGCAGCCAGAAAATCGAGTGCCTTGGGCTTCCTCAATTTGATTCTCCGGTTTGCCGTGCCCTGGAAATGGGACGCGCGGGGTTCCTTCTCTTGCCTCGGCTGCTGACTTCTCTGATAGCCATTGGAAGTGCTCGCAATCATAAGTGAGACATTCGGTCGTGCTGACAATGGCGCTTCATCGAGCTTGATTATATCATCTTTCAGTATCTCAGCAAAGAATCTTCTTCGCATCGGAATCTTGGAATTTTAAGCCCAAACATATCAGAATGCCAGGTTTCTAGGCAATAAAAAAAAACGAATCCAGTTAAACTGCATGAATAATATGTGATACTAGGATAGATTCTCATGAACAAACCTTCTGAGGTGTAGAAGATTCTGTTGGTCCAACATCGTTGGAATGTTTTTGCTCGGATTCCGATGCGGAATCGAGTTGCCCAATAGAATGAGAATCATAACTAATAGTACCCTTCTTCAAATTGGCTTTGTCCAGTTCGGAAGTTCCAGTATGGTCAGTAGCAGCATCTAAGGTAGCACAGTTGCTGTCATGCATAAATGGTGGAGTCCGGTTTGATGTGTTATTCAGACGAACCTCGTTATTCTTCCTAAGGCGGCAAACAACTAGTAAATCCTACAAATTCAGAAAGCAAATGAAACATGAATATTTAGTCAAATATTGAGCTCAAATCAGTGAACCGCATCTATTGATATGGCTTGACTACAAACGTGAACCTGCAATATCTGTCTCCCTAATACGAAGCAGGGCAACCAGTCTTCGGATTAATTTAACTTTATTGAAACCATTATATGTTCAATAGTTATGAAGATTTATCACCTGGGACTTTCCATCCATGCAGTATTCGTGCATGATCCATTCTGTTCTTTCCCCTCTCGGTGCACGACCTGTGTGAAACACAAGCGTCCTCTTGGTACCAATCACATTAGAACCCGACTTGACATTGTGCTCTCCCTGTGGTTTTCCAGTAACCCTGTTCAGTTGCACATCTACTTTGTGAACCATTCGGGTACTTTCTCCCACGAGAGCAGAAGAAGAACCACTCATTATCCGACTTTACGACAGATTTGTCTGGGAAATCAGTGGCAACCACCAAAGAAAAAAAGTATTTGTGAATTAATAACATAACTCTACTGGAACATAAACAATTATCTGCAGCATCAAAAGGACAATCCAGGTGCTAATCGCAAAATTGCACAACACAATCTTGTTAATATCTGAGAAATCCAATAAAGACATTTTACCTAAAATCATGTAATTAAGATACCAATTCACGAGACAAAAACTAGAAAAGATCATACCATTAACAGCTGCTAGGCTTCTTTCTCTACTTCCACTTGCAAATTAAGATTCCATTCTTCCTGCTACATCAATTTAATTTGTGTTTTAATTAATTTGAGAAAATTCGGCATGACGATATAAAACAGAAAAGAACAAAATACATTGTGGGGAAGTTAAAAGAAAAGTTCAAACTTCTCTGCAGGAAGTAACACAACCTGCGGCATTCAATACAAGTTTTAAACAGGTTCATACATGATGACACCGGCCAGGCAACGATAAATTTCTCAGATCGTAACAACTTCAGATAATTGTTGGGCACAGCTTGCAATTCTACCATTGAAAACATCGATTTCTACATCGAGGGAAGATAAGGCTGATAGTCACAGATACAGATTCCATGGAAATTCTAAACATCTTAACAATTTTGCAAGGTTAACTGGCTTCCACACTAGCTTTTTACCTTCTAGATTCCATCAACCTCGTGCATGGTCATAACTTCTAATGGAATAAAACTGAAAGCAAAACTAGAGTAACCCTTAAAACCCACAGAATCCCACTTTTGCTTCTTTCGCATTCTGTTTTGAAAAAAGTGGCTAGTAGCAAAATGACAACAGCCCAAGTATTTCAACGTCATTATCATATTTCATATCCAAATTAGAACACCGTAGTTTTCAAACTTCCTCATCATTATCAACATACAAACTCCACCCCGAGTTAATTTACACTTGAAAAAGACAAAGCTCCGTATAACACACAGATATATGGATGTAACCTATTGTAAAATAAAAAATAAAACCTGGTAAGTCCCAGGGCTCATATCTACAAATTTCAACCTCGGGAATGACCTCAACACACTTCTCATATCCGTCCAGCTTCTTTTTCAAGTAATAAGAAATCAGTTCAACATCAGTTGGAGAAAATCGAAGAAGCTTCTATGGTCATCTGGGTTTCTCTTGAAACTCCTTCCCCAATCCCCTGCCATCACCACACCATCAATACAAAACTTGCCCTTCTCCTTTCCTTTTTCTTCTCTGTTCGTCGTGTTTGTTGTCATGTTAAAAACAATAATAAAGTTTTCTTTCCCCCCTCCCCTTTTTTTCTTTTCTCCCTCTAAGACTACAAACTTCTGTTTAGTACAGTATAGGATCTTTTGCTTTTTGGTTTTGGTCAACATTCGGCTCGGCGGAAATGGAGAAAAAGGGTGGGTAAGTTTGAGGTTTGGGTTCTGTCTGTCAGAAATGAAAGAGATGTGTCTGAATGTAGACTAGGGGCCGAAGTGACTGACAATCGGTACGGACCGCGATCGTCACATGGCGTCCCACTTGGTTTTGGACTCTCTCGTTTTATAATATTTTTACTTTTTAATCTCAATAAAAAACCAAGTTTAATTACAAGACAAGAAATAAAGCACTTGAATGAATCTAGTGGTTTGGACGTACATTCTTTTTACTATTTGCCCCGTCACCCAAACCTTAACAATTAAGTTTTATAAAATAAATTACGGAATTAGTTAACGTAATTCATTTTTTTGATAATAGAATTTTCTTTTTGTTTTTTAAAAAATAACTTACGGTCTGATTTTTCGTAAGTCATTTTTTAAACTTTTTACTTCAAAAAATAAATACTCAAAATAATTTTATTTTGTGAATTTAATATTAATAAAATAGTTTTAATATCATTTTCATCAAAATATTAATTATTAAAATATTTAAAATATATTTATTAATATTTATAATAATATTATATTATATTTTTAATATTATAATAAAATAATTAATTATATTATAATAATATAAGATATTATATTTTTATTTTAATAAATATATAATAAAATTTATATATATTTAATAATGAATAATATTATTTGTATATTTAATATTAATATAATAATATAATAATATTTTAATGAAGATATTTAAAATATACTAATTAATATTTTTAAAATATAATATAACACTATTACTTTAATAAATAATTAATATAATTTATAATATTTTTATTTCACTAAAATATACCAATATTAATATTTTCATTAATAAAATTATAAAAATAATATTTAATGATAAATAAATTATTTTAATATTTAAAATAATAATATTAAGTTTTATGATAAATAATATTATTTATTGTATTTAATATTTATAATAAATATTTTTTAAAAATCTCATCAACTAGTGAAAAAAAAAATTTTAAATAACATTTTCCAAATATCATAAAACGTTTTCCAGATGTTTTTCAGAAAAATGTAATTCATTTTACGGAAAACATTTTCCAAAAAACGTTTTTCAGAAATTTAATTTATTTTCCAGTAATTCAAATTCTAATAATTCATTTTTCAGAAAATCAATTATATCCAAATAAACAGACCTAACCTTCATTTTTTTTACATTCTTTTTTTTAATTAAAAGAAAAAGAAAATCATAATTTCATGATAAGACGACAATGTAGAGTTATTGTACAACCCATGTGAGGGGTTGGATTTGTTGTCAAATGTGTGGTCCGAGACAATTTGATGCGGATTAACTCACATGGATGATGCTGACTCACTACGTATGAAAAAATAAGAACATGTTGGAAATTATTGGACTTTGATGGTCTGAATTTGACTCTTAGCGCAAATTCGTATCCATAAATTATAACAGATTCATACAGCCTAAGAGTTGATTTACTGTCTGGTCTTCTAAAGTTTGGGAATTGATGAACATTAGCCAACAAAACAAATGACGAAACATTACAAAAAAAAAGGTTCTATCTTTTCCTCAGCTCGTTGAAGTTTGCCCTTCACATCCAGCGCTAACTACCTTAGGCCACTGTTTTGAATCGTCCCTATTCAAAGCCGGTGAGCCATTGCTCCATTGCCAGGTCGGACTCGAAAAGCTTCCGATGGGTGCTCTTTTGTTACTAGATAATATGTGATCTCTAAGGCTCTTCACTGACCTGTATCTTCTTATTTCATCTTCATGATCCCAATCTGTGGAGTCCGAACTTCCTCTTTCTAAGCAAATGCTTCCCCATGAAAGCTCCTCGGACCGAGATTTCATCCCCTTGTTCTCTTTTCCGATCGGAATCCTCTTAGATTCACCATTGACATGATTTCCACAAGCATAACTCCGCTTGTAGCTCTTGTCATTGTTGTCCATGATTAATTCAATGGAATGGAGATCACTATCAGCTGAATCATCTGCTTCACACTCTTCTCCACCATTCACCATGACTTCACCTTTATCGACATCTTTCTTGGCTGCTCGACACATTCCAAAATCTATATTCTTCAAATACACTTCGAGCTCTTTGATCTTCTGCAAGTTCGGAGAACCATTGACATTTTCTTCGTTGATTTTGGTTCCTAGGTATGCCTCAAGTTCATTCCTCAACTTTTCGACAACTGCAGTCTTCTCCTCAAACTGATGTTTAGCCTCCGAAAGCTTCATTTGAACTCGCTCCTCGCGTAAGACATCGGCAAACTGAAGCATTTCCCTTTCCTTCTCCACTTCTTCCCTCACTTTAGCCGTCTCTCTTTTCAGTTCTTCTGCCATGGCTCGATCTTCTCCGATTCCTTTAGCAAACTCATCACAGACTTGCTCCAATATTTCCTTTGCCCTCTTCTCACCCTGAAACTCCTTTGTCGCCTTCGACAGAGATGCCTTTGTATCGGCCAATTCTTTTCCGAGCTTCTTGTTCAATCTCTCTGTTTGCCTCCGTAGTTTCTTCTCCACCTCAAGCTCATCCGCTACACATGCTATAGCATCTCGGATTCTGTCGCGCTCCTTTCTCTTCCAAGCTGCCTTTTCTTCTGCAAAATGCCTCATGAGGTGCTCCATTTCATCACAATAAGAACATGGCTCACGGATCAAACGATCAACTCCGGTGCGAGCTCGATCTAGTTCAATGCGCAGGGCAGATATAAGGGACATGGTCGATGAATGTCGCTCTTCGAGACCACATACATGATTCAAAACTTTTAAGAGCTCTTTCGAAGTGGTGAGGCCATTCCGGATGTCCTTTAAACGAGTTTCGGTCCCACTTAGGCATCCAGCATGATTTTTACCTTTAGAATGAGTTTCAGTCTGCATCACGAAGATTCAACTCCAAGATTATTGCAGTGAATTCTCAGTTTGAAAAAAAATGAATAAAGTTAACTGATCATAAATATAAAACAACACAGATGGAACGTCTGATCCGGAATAAATTATAAACACGCAGATTTGAAGCACAAACAAACTGTTGGTTATTAATTAAAAACTTTGGAAATTTTTCATAATTGTTTCATCACCTCTATTAGACTGGCGTTGCCAACGAAGTCCGAACTCCCCAACTTATAATCACTTAATTCAAGCTTATGAGAAACAACCGAAGATCTTCTCTTGTGAGATTCGATTCTGGATCGACCCGTTTTCTGTACAATTCAAAAAACTTCCATTAATTGTTTATTTTAACCCAAATCTTCAATAAAATAAAATAAAAACATACGGATCCCACCTCTGAAATAGGGCTATAAGACGGATCAAACAAACTCGGCGGCAAGGTGTGAGCCATTTTCAAAACTCTGGGAGCTTTTCTCCTCCTATCTTTCTTCTCCAACTCTTCCTTGCCTGGCAGTGAAGATATTTTATTGATCTCCCACAACGTGGCGGCAAGTTTTCTAGCATAAACTGAAGCTTCTTTGGTTTTGGAACCACTCTCCGGTGAACCTGTGGTGGGAAACTCAGCACTCGGGATTGCTAAAGAAGGTGACTTCGTTGAAGCTGCCAAAACCGCACGCTTGAATCTGTATTTTTGGATCAAAGATGAAGAAGATGATGATGAACAACCACGTTTCCTAATCTTGCATAACCGTTTACCTTTTCCTTCCCCATTTTGTTGTGGTTGCCATGACATTGGTAGTTTTATATATAAATCTATATTTATTTTTTCTGACAACAATTTCGCCTCAAAGTCTGAAACTTGATGACCCAATATCAAGACTTTGAAGTATTTTTCAAGCAAAACTATCAAGATTTGAATTGAAGATCCCCTTTCTAAAGCTAAATGGAAAGTTTTTTAAATGAGAGGTGGAGGGAGGAAAAGATGATGAAAGAAACAAATGAGCATGTTTTCTTTGTTGGCAAGTCCCTAACTTATTGCCTTGAATTCATCAAAGAAAAGCAAAGGAAGTGGACAATCAAAAGATTCTTCTTCTTCTTAAGAATTTTTTTTTACAGAGTAAAAGAAAGATCGGAAGAAAAAAAATTAAACAAAAACGAAATGCGGAATGTTGTTGAAAGATTTGAGTGAGAGAAAGAAAGTGAAAGAATTTGATTCAGAAAACTAAAGAGGGAAAGAAAGAAAAATAAATAAAGTGAGAAAGGGGAGAGGACGTGGCTTAAGACGTGAGACTGGCCTGGGTGCTGTGTTCCGTAATCTCAGCCGGAATGTTCTTTATTAGTATTATTATCCTCAATTATTTTTACAACAAACGTTTGATTTTGCATTTATTATACATTTATCCTCATTCGTTCTTAATTCGCGATCTATGTTATAATTAACAAATATATACTAATATTAATACTCTGTCGTTATATCATTGAAAAAAAATAAATAGTGATAATATTATAAAATTTAAGACTACTTTATAAAAATTGAAAAAATATATGTCATTTTTATGAAAAAATGATATAAAATAATTTCTTCAAAATTTAATCTATTTAAAATTAAATCATTTAAAGAGATTAATCATAAATTTGAATCACACATAAATGTAATAAATATATACCTAATATCAAATACTAGCAACCCTAAACCCACAATGAATATCATTGGTTTTGCGCATAAATATTTCTCTACCGTAGTTAATCGGTTTCTATGAGATATATTGTGCATTAAATTTGTATGTAAATGAATGGGTTGCAAATACTGGATGATAAGAAGTGAAATAGAGGGGTTCAAGACAAAAATACTAAACAAATAAAGGGGGTGATTTGCAAATAATGGAAATAGGGAAAAGTGGGAAAGTAATAATTGTGGACCCGTACATCTCTAACTTTATCGGTCAATAATAAGTAAAAGGAAATTAGGAAATTTATTGGGAGGAGAGGTAGGGAATGTTAAATAGCCCAACCTTTGGATAGCATATAAAAGTATTTATAATTTGAATGTTTCTAACATTTTGAATATATTAAATGATTTTAATGATAAAATATATTATTTTTTTTAAAAAACAACGGTAATATTCAGCGGTTGAATTTGTAAAATAACAGTAAAATTATATATACGTGAGAGAGAGGAAATTGAGGTAGAAGATGAGAAATGGATGGCGTAAAGGGAGAGGTGTTTGGGTTTTCGAGGTCTGCTTGTTGTTGATGATACGTCAGAGAGGAATAGTAGTTTTCAGGGGTGATTTTACCAAACTGACACCCTTTAACCGATTATCTTCCATTATAGCATCCTTTCATCTATATTTTCCGAAATAGCACCCTTTGTGCTGAGATGACGGAAGGCGCATCCCCGGGAACGCGCTTTCCATGAATTTATATTGACTCAGGTGACACGTGTGAAAGGCGCATCCCCGGAGACGCGTCTTTCATTAAATGACTTTAATACCCATCCAATTTTTCCTCAACTACCCCTCCTCCTCCCCCTATATAAACTCCTTCAACCCCTCATTCTTCACATCAAAATCATCTTCTTCTTTCTTATATAATTCAAATTCTCCAAATCTTTGAGTTTTAAATTTCTTATTAGTGGTAAGAAATTTATTTTTAAGATAGTATTTTTTTACATAGTTATTATATTTTATATTAATATAATTATATAAAATATTATTTTTATTAAAATAATATTTATATAAATTATTATTTATTTAAATTTATTAATTAATTATTTTTTTGTGCTAATTATTTTTTTTTCTACAGTTATAATGGAAAGTGAAGTGCTGCTGCGATTAGATGCTAACCATATCTCTAGATATTTTAGCGATATTATCATCAATAATTATTTACTATAATTTCTCAATTTATAATAATAATAACAGATTAAATGTGTAATTATACTAATTTTATTAACTTATGCATCAATATTTTAGTTAAATAATAATAACAGATGACTAGATTGATAATATTTAAATAATTAAGTGATAAAATTAATAGATTGATAATTAAAATAAAAAAATAATAATATAACCATACGGTAATATAATAATTTTATACATTTTTCATATAACTATAATAAAATAAAAATTAGTTTTCATCTATTGTTCTATCCGATTAATGTGGATAATACACTCCACCTTTAACACACATTAAAAAAAATTCATTCGATAATTATTAAATTATAACCGAAACAATTTACATAATATATTACTAATTTATAATAACAATAACAATAAAAATAAAAAATTTATTATTAAAAACATACCACCGTATCACCTAAGTCAGCAAAACCCCGTGAAGGCGCGTCCCCGGGATGCACCTTTCACACGTGTCACATGAGTCAACATAAATTCATGGAAAGCGCATCTTCGGGGATGCACCTTACGCCCCTCACAAAGGATGGTGCTATTTCAAAAAATATAAGTGAAAGGGTGCTATAATAGGAGATAATCGATTAAAGGGTGTCCAGTGTTTTCAGGATCCCATTCCACGGCTACTTGTTAACTTGTAACTTTATCAACAGTACAACCGGCATCCGTTGATGTTATCTGTAATTGATTCTTATGGTGACACCTGTCCGTTCATCCTTGTGGGCTTCAATGTCTTTTGCTGGGTTATCCAATGTTTCAGAGGCCTCTTTTGGGTTGACAGCCATATAACGGTTCTTTTCCTAGGGCAGCCCAAATTATTTTTAGATCTACGATATTTTTTACATTGCATAAAACTCATCTCGTCAAGTTAAGGTGATTAATTTTAATAAAAAATATTTTTTGTTCAAACATTTACATCAATGTGATAAATTTTAACAAAAAAAAATATATTTTGTTAGAACTTGTCACTTTGAGATCACGAGTTTGAACAAAAAATATTTTTTTATTAAAACTCGTCATCTCGATGTGAAAAATCTCATAAAAACTGTAAAAAATACGGTAGGTCACAAAATAAAAACTCAAGTGCCCTGGGCTAAATAAAAAAACCATATAATAGAAGATGACAGAAACAATAGCATTAGATGGATCCGAATTCTCTCGTTTGTGTTTGTGTTAGTTGTATCTTACAGGCTGAAAAATATATATGTAATTAATTACAAGTATAGTTATACTAAGTATTATTTTTGATCAAAATATAGTAAATTGTTAAAAATATATTGGATAATGTAAGTAAAATAAAATTCAACCGAAAAAAAGACTAATAATCCAGATTACCGTTGAGATAATATTTTACATAATCCAAGGAAGGTAAAGAGAACAATAGTTTTAAACAAAGAGAAGTAGAAAAACACAAAATATGACTAGTATTTAAAAAGAAAATTACAAATGAAGACTAGTATTTAAAGTAATCCTCGTTCCTTCCTTTAAACCCGATTTGCCCAAAAGTAAGAGTGATGAAGAGTCCAAGGTGCCATAATACCAACCACAACCTGTTCATTTTATCCAAAAAAACTAAATTCAATTAAACTGTTAATGCCCAAATTAGACGAGTAATAGTTATCATAAATTGTTCTTAAACCCAACAGTTGCAATTCTTACCAGAACTGGGAAGTAAGAGCCGGAGGTGTGGGGAAGTGAGCGAGCTCAGTTCCAATGCTATCAAAGAAAAGGCCAGTCAAGCTCTTCCCATCGATCGCCGGTATGCTGGATGGAGCTAGCCACCCAATCAGCCCAAATCCTATCACGTTGAAGTCCCTACGTAGCCAGTCCCTCTCGAAGCTTCCCCACGTTTTCAAATCAATGTAATTAATCACCGTTCACCACTAATACATTTCAGTAAATCATCCATTGATCCAGACTTACCATGTAAACCTGCCCCCTGAAGCACCAGCTAGCCTCAAAGGGTTCCTAGCAGTCACCCCGGATCTCAAAAACCCTGCAATTGTACACCCACCAAATGCTGATTTTACTCTAGGAATGCCTGATGGCAAACGATGGGCTTTTGTTCCCCTAAAGGACGGTGGGTACGTACCTGAAGAGAGGGGGGGTTTCCTTGATGGGGATGACAGCGAGGTGACGGAGCCGCCGAGGCCGACGACGGTTGATGGGGTTGCGAATGTGGCTGCCATTTTTGGCGTATGGCTGATGTGCTGTCACAGATTTGGTACCTAAGCTTGTGTGCTTCAAACGAGAGACGCGGATTTTTTCTTTATGGACTACCCAAGATTGCGTGGATGAGTGATTGCTCAATGGCTTTGAGACACGCCGGAATTCAGTGGATAAAGTGGACCTTGTCTTTGCTTTGTTGGCTGATGATACTACCACTAAATGGATTACGTTTTGATATTCCGATCAATTTTTCCTTTTGCATATATTGTATTCATTAAATTTGGATTTTTGGTTACGATTTTGACATTTATGCTATAAAATTAAAAAGTTTAAATGTATTTATTATTTTAACTATTCATCTTCTTATAAATTATTACGCAAATAATTCTTATTCTCAATTTGATATTTGAATTAGATATATATTTTTCAAGTTGATACAAGAAAAAAAATTACTTTAACATCGATATAGAGATTTTAATCTTATCTATTATTTTGGTGTTTTTAATATAAATTTATTTAAAAATATATACATATAATGATAGACTCATTGACATTCAAATACGTGATTTAATCTTTATATTATCTCATCATTAAAAATATTTTTAATAAAAATATAAAAATAATAAATGAAATTAAAGTTTAAGTACCAACTTAAAAATAAAAATTATTTATATACCAACTTAAAAGAATGTGTTTAATCTTATTAAACATATATTTAAATCAACTAAAAATTATAACTATTTGAATTCAATGGTTAAATTATTTTAAAATATAATATCTTGTATTAAAATATTATACTCTAAAATTTAAAATCAAACTTTTAAATAATTTTATTTAAGCAAACCATCATAATTTTTTTTATTAATCTAGGATAATTATAAGTTTTAATAATTTTTAATTATTTGACAATAAACATGTAAATATCATTTCATCACTGATACTCAAACTTAAGATTTATATGAATAACAATCATCAGGGTCGAGGTTAGATTTTCGAGAGCCCTGTATAAATTCTTATAAATGTGCCCCTATTTTCTAAATATATTCGATTTCGAGATAATAATAGTGGCGTTTTATGACAAACGCCGCAATAAATCCATATATAGTTACGTTTTTTTAAATAAAATCTCAATATAGAATCTATAGATATACTTTTTTAGGGACTATTTTTTAGGATCCTGCTCCGTCGTGCAGTTCGCACCACCCCAGCCACGGCACTGACAATCATGTCTTCAACATTTATAAAATCTTCAACTTAATATATATATTTTTTTATAAAAGGCATTTTCCTAATTGGTTCACATGTTTGGACCGTTTATAAAATGATAAATTCCCTTTGTAAGTTCCTTGTAAGTGGACTGGAGGTTCACCCCATTGAGATATGAGCAGAGGTAGTAATCGGGCGGATTCTCGTAGTTTTAGATTGAATTATTTAAAGTTTAGATTTTTTTGTTTTCTTTTATTGGATTTTTTTTTTCGTTTGAACTTTTATGTATTCGACTTTTTATATATTTTTAAATAAATTCATTAATAAGAAAAGTCTCGAAAAAACATAGATAAAAGAGATTATTATCAAATAAGGATTCATTGTTGTTCTTAAAGGTTATGAGTTTGAGCACCAGTTAGGGGTGTATTTGGTTCGGTTTAATTTTAAGTAAAAAACCGAATCGAACCGAAATAAATGGGTATTTAAAATTTAAACCGAAATCGAATGGTTAAAAACCGAATTATGTGAAACCGATTTTTTCGGTTCGGTTGGATAATGTTGTTTTTTCGGTTCGGCTCGTCGGTTTTTCAATAAAAAATTCACTTGAAACTATAAATTCAAAAAAAATTGTCTATTCAGTTCAATATGGAACAAGTGGGTTCCATATGGAAAACCCGAACCGAACCGAATCAATATAATTGAATCTTTAAATCAACCCGAAACCGAACCGTTTAAACATAAACCCGAACCAAACTGATCTGTTTTACTCGGTTCGTGTCGGTTTTCTCGGTTTCATTTCTCAATCCTAGCACCAGTGACTGCAGCAGAGTGATTGAATATTCATTGTCAAACGGTTTAGAGTATTTAGAATAATACTATTTTGTAATTACTTTAGCTTAATAAAAAAATAATAACACAATTAATCAATTTAATGGTAAATCATATGTTTAGTACCTAAAGTATCATTTTTAGTTTGTTTTAGTTCATAAACTTTTAATTTTTTTTAAAACCATACTTAAAATAAAATAAAACTGATAATTTATGTACTAGATGCATAGTTTGCCCTAAATGTAATTCCCACTAAATACTAGCTATAAATGTAAAAACCTCACAAGTTATCCCAGCTTAACATGATAGTCGAAACTCTTATCCTTAAAGTTTATAAACCAACTCTTAGATATTAGTTCTAAATCCTCATTTCATAGTCTTGGTGGTTATAAATAAGTTTTAAATTTCATAAACCAACTTATATCAGTATTAGTGGTTAAAAGAATCGTTGTTGTTCCTAGAGGTCATAAGTTCAAACACTAGTAACTGCAGTAGGATAATTCGACATTTATTATCGAATAATTAAGATTTATTCAGAACAAATACTATTTTATAATCCTTTTAGCTTAATAAAATGAAAAAAAAAATCTCCACTAAACCAACGAATGAGTCGCATTTCATCATCGGAAATAATTTGTGAAGTTTAATGGTAGCGGTAAGAGTTAAGCACCAACTTCTTCGTTCGGATTTATTAACTAATAGCCTATTATCTAATCACTAACAGGACCCTCCCGCTATCTTCAATTATTTACTTTGATTCAACATCAGAATCTAGACACTCTACTATTGATAAGTTTATAACAATATTTACCATTAAATTAGAGTTTAGGTTACGTCAATACATATTTGATTATTTTTTAATTTCAAAAATATTTATAAATTCGAGTCAAACTAAATTTATTTAATGGCATAAACTGCTATGGTTCCCACTTCACATCCCCAAACACAACTTAATTACTTGGATGGTTTTCCTCGATAGGTTTCCTACAAAAGAAAGGTTGCAACGCATGAGACTTCTTAATGACTGCAAATGTGTTTTCTGTGGTTCTACTATGAAAACAAGGAACCATCTTTTCTTCGAATGTCATACTGTTGCTTCTTTATGGGCTGCTGATTTCTCTCTAAATGGGTTACGTCTTTTGTCATAGAATGATTTCCTTGCTTGGGTTACTGCTAATTGGAAGGGTAAATCCCTTCTTACATACATTTTGAAGATTGCTTCCAATGCCCTTATTTACACCCTGTGGGAAGAAATAAACAAAAAGATTTTTCAAGAACGATCAAGGACCATTGAAGATCTGATTCATGCCATTAAGGAAACTGTTGGTTTTCAACTAAGGGGTAGAAACCTTAATAGATTAGATATTGTTAATATTACTCTTTGTAACAATTGGGGTATTATTTGATTGCTGTTATTTTTTGTATGTAGAGCAATCCTTCTAATCTGAACTCTGTTTTTGTAACAGTACCTGCTCTTTGGGTAATAAAAAGAATGAATTATCCAAAAAAATAAATTTATTTAAATTTAATCTCAAACTTTTTAGATTCAAATTTTAAGTTTTGATTTATTGCCACTTCTAATTAAGATAATATTTGTAATGTTACAAGTACATTACAAAAACAATCATAGTTATAATAAGCATTAAATAAATTTGAATGACTAAACTTTTACTTTAGTCATAGTTGATGTTAAGATTTTGAGTTTGATCGCAAATAATATTTTCTCATTTTTTTCTTGCATGTATATATATATGTGGCAAAATGGTGTGAAGCGTGTAAGGATTGATTCTAGTAAATAAAAGAAATTTATTCATCCACACCCATATTATTTAATTATTTATACAATAATGAAAGGTTAAATGAGTTTGTTAAAATTTTAGTTTAGTTCTAATACACATCTTTTTAGAAGAAAAAAAATTAGGTTATATGGGCAAAAATAACGACCAAAACGCTCCACAGACGGCAAAAATGGGTGATACAAGAGCCGGGTCGTTCGGGCCGAGCAAATCGACCCGAAAGGGTGAAGGCAAGAACCAGTTGCTTGAAGTTTCCATTTCCAAAACTTTTGAACAAATGGGTATTCCTTGGTTGTAAACATCCACGGCTGAGATTAATTCCGTCGCCATTGGTAAAGAGCTGTCATTGAGCTTTAGCGGTTGGAGATCGGGAAACGGAAATGCGTCGGAGAAGAAGGAGCGGTGACCGGAGGGAAACGTGGAGATGACTTGTTGCATACGTGGTTGATTGACAGAAGGTCACGTGGAGTAACAAATGTTATGCCATAGGTTTTCTTCTGTAGATAGGGAACGCAAATGAGAGGAAACGCAGGCGGTAGAGGCTAGATTGGGACCGCCGAGTCGTGTGAGGATGAGAGCTCGGACTATATCGGAATGAAGGCCGGCGATCGTCTCATCGCGGCGCTAACAACAGAAGAGGAAGACGGAGGGGAAGCCATTGGCTTTAGGTTTCGTAACAAGTCTTAGGACAGCTTTTGCTAGGGACAGCTCTTTCGGTAGTCTCTTTGGAAAATATTTCGTCCTTTAAAAGCCACAAGACGGGCAAATGGCCAAACTTTGTCCTACATACTAACTATAGACTCTAATTTATTTATTATTTTATTTACATTTTAAAATATAAACACTTATAAACAATACCTACACAATAAAAGTTTATCATTTTATTTGTATGATTCATTTTTAATTTTACTTTGGGTGATTTATTTTTAGTTGTAAATTGATATTGGTACTTTTATAACGTATAAATAAATGTAAGTTTAAATATATTTAAATATATTTTATTTCTGGCTTAAATGTATATTTGACTCCTGAAGTTTAAAAAAATTAATGTGACATTTATCTTATTTTGGATCAATATGACCTTTTAACTCGAAAAAAGAACTTAATGTGACTATTTGACTAACGTTTTTCGTCATTGACCAAAATTCCGTTAATTCCTGCTGATATAAATTGGGTAAATTGCACCATCCATCACTCAACTATTTTCTTCTCTTCTATTTTGGTCACTAAAATCTAAAAGTTTT